TTTTTTGGACTTTGCATTGGCTTTCTCTTAGCACTGTTTTATATAACACAATTATCCTCTAGTTTCTGACCGTTCGATTCATCTCCCTCCTTTAACCACCGACCCTTTGTTTCTTTTCTGTTCATTTACCCGACCTTTCCCTTCCTCTTCCTCATTCGCCGTTTCACCTTCCCCTGTGTAACAAAACCGTTACATTCAATTTAAGGAATTAGAATATAACCTAGAATTATAGTGGTGGGATGTTGGATCGTCTCTAAGGGTTGGTAAAATAAATGTCAACACTAATCCAACTTAGGCTAGTCTAGGCTCATTTAGAAAATCACTATAGGAAAAAAAAAATTAAGTGTTCTGTCGCTGAAATTTATAGTGGATGGCTAGTTTAGAATATTAATTTGTGATTTGGAGTAGATGATAGAAAGGTAATGTTGTTATAGTGGTTTAGTGGAAATAATGACATAACTTAGATAGAGCTAGTTTGGGTTGATTTAAAATATCTTTTCAAAAAAAGAATTTTAAGTAGTCTAACTAAAAAGAAATAATCGTGAAAGGTTATTTTAGAATGTGAAATTATGATCTGGAATAGTTAATAGAGTTTGGTGGGGTCAAAAACATTGTAATGATATAGGCAATACGACGAGGCAGTTGTCCAACTAAAGCTCATGAAAATGAGAAAAAAAGAATGATCCTAGTTAATACTTAAATAAACTTTCAATGATGGAGCAGAGAAGAGGCAGCTGAGGCTAGAAAGTGGGTTAATTGAACATCAGGTAATCCAAAAATAGTTTTAACTCAAAATAGCTAAAGTCCCAATAAATCAAGGCAAAATATGGCCTATAGATATTCAATTTGACTCGACAAAAACATGAATAATATATGAATATCATAAATGAAATACACACAGGTGCCCGTATATGAAAAAAAAATATTAAATTGACACAATTTTTAGACGGTGTTCTTGTGACTGTTGTATAAATAAACAATGATATTGAGATGCATTTAATATTATAAGGTTCTTTGAATAACATTAATTATTTTTATTGATTTGTTAAAAGCTTGGCCGATATGCATATTGTTTCTTTTTCTTTTGTATTATTATGATTTTTAAGTATGAGTATTCCATGATATTGTTTAGTTCACTATTATTTTAAATTAATATTTCAAATTTAAATAAGTGATTTAAAAGATGAGCGATATAAGGGAAAATATTTATAAAAGATGCGGACATCCAATAAAGAGACAATTTTAAATATATTATTTTATTTTAATTTAATTAATGACTCTTTCATTTATTAAATCACAGACAAATGTAGAAAGTAATTTCCAACATCCGATTGTTTGCTCTCTTGGTTAATTCCAAGCCTCAGGCCGGTCGTGACAAAAATGATATCAGTGCACAAGGGTCGGGGCTTGGAATTAACCAAGTCGGAAACAGGCGGTTAAACAATGAAAACTAAATTTTCTATATTCGTCTACAATTTAATAAATGAAAAGGTCACTAATCAAATTAAATTAAAATAATATGTTTAAAACTACCTCATTCCTGGAAGTCTGTGTATTCTATAATGTTTTCTCTTATATCGCTCATCTTTTAAATCACTTAATTAAACCTAAAAAATTAATTTTAAACAATAGTAAGCTAAAAATTGTCATTGAATACTCATACTTGAAAATCACAGTAATACAAAGAAAATGAAACAAAATGCATGCTAGTCAAGCTTTTATTAAATTAATAAAAATATTAGTAAAGAACCTTATAATAAAAATAGCATATATTTATCATTATGTATCTCTACAACCGTCACAGAAGCACCGTCTAAAAATTGTGTCAATTAAGGCGTCAATTTCAATATCATTTTTCATATACATGCATAAGTACCTTTAGTCTTTTCCCACTATTACCACCAAGATGGTGATTCTATCATAGTTAGTCATGCACATACAAACAGTCAATGTGAATGTATTGTTTATGTGTTCGTTACATTCAACTATATATAACATACACTAATGCATAATATTAAGTAGCTACATACAAACAGTCAATATGAATGTATTGTTTATGTGTTCGTTACATTCAACTATATATAACATACACTAATGCATAATATTAAGTAGCTACATACAAACAGTCAATATGAATGTATACATAAAAATCGAGAAGAATCAAAATGTTATCATGGATTAAAAGTACGAGTGCTCACCATGATGACGTTTAATTCGATAAGATTTAGTCTGACGTCAACTCTTCTAAAATGGAAACCTAACATAAACATAATGTTCATATTACAAAACTTTAAAATAAATTATTATTTTAATTAACTATTAACTTTACATTAATAATAAAATTTTCATATTATTATTTTTTACATAAGATTTATTCTAATAAACCCCTATTAAAGCTTACCTCGGTTGCCCTAAAGGTCTCCTTCGCACGGCAACAACGTCGTTGTCGCCTCTGACGCTGCCTTCTCTCTGCTTGCTTACACGACGTCATTGGCTCGACTTCAACTTCTTCCCGCATGAACACTAGACGTAGATGCCTCCTCTGCTCACTAGCGACACCGTCTCTATTGTTACGCTCGAACTTCCCACACAGGTGAGGTGCACCCATCCTTTCCCCTTCTACTCCTTTCTATTCCCTTCTCCTCCTTTCTGGTTCTTCTTTTGGACTTGCATTTTCTTCCACTTAACAATGCTATAGAACACAAGTTTCCACTTAGTTTATAACGATTCGATTCATCTCCCTCCTTTAACTGTCGACTCTTCTCTTTGCCTTCTTTTTTTTTTCATTTGCGCGACTTCTTCCTTCCTCTTCCTCGATTCGTCCTTTTCCCTTCCCCTATAACAGAACTGTTACATTCAGTTTAAGGTATAAGAATAGAAACTGGAATTATACTGGATTGTTGAATTGTCTATAAGAGTTTGGTGAAAGAAATGCCAACACTAATCCAACTTAGGCTAGTCTAGTGTCACCTCCTAAAAGAGCCCTTAGGGGCGGTGGGCAACCCAAGACTTAAATACTGCTTTTCGGCCATAAACCTAGCAGATGTGGGACTTTTGTTCGTGACATTCTCCTCCACCCAATCACGTGACGTCCTCGTCACGGATTAGCTCCAACGAGGGTCCCACTGGACCATAGAAAGTCCACACACCTGGCAGACAGTAATCTGCTTTGATGTCACTTGTCACCTCCCAAAAGAGCCCTTAGGGGTGGTGGGCAGCCCAAGACTTAAATACTGTTTTTCGGCCATACACCTAGCCGATGTGGGATTTTTGTCCGTGACATTAGGCTCATTAAGAAAATCACTATAGAAAAAAAAATTAAGTGTTGTATGGCTGAAATTTATATTGGGTGGCTAGTTTAGAATATTAACTTGTGATATGGAGTAGATGCAGAAAGGTAAGGCTGTTAGAGTGGTTTAGTGAAAATAATGACCTAATTAATCTAGATCAAGCAAGTTTGGGTTGATTTGAAATATCTTTTCAAAGAAAGAACTTTAACTGGTCCAACTAAAAAGAAATAATTGTGAAGGGTTATTTTAGAATGTGAAATTATGATCTGGAATAGTTAATAGAGTCTGGTGGGATAAAAAACATTGTAGTGATATAGGATATACGACGAGGCCGCTGTCCACCTAAAGCTCGTGAAAATGAGAAAAAGAGAATGATCCTAGTTAAAGCTTAAATAAGCTTCCAATGAGGGAGCAGAGAAAGGGCGGCTGAGGCTAAAAAGTGGGTTAGTTGAATTGTAGGTAATCAAAAACTGCTTTAACTCAAAATAGATGAAGTCCCAATTAATCAAGGCAAAATATGGCCTATAGATATTCAAATTGACTCAATAAAACTGTGCCTAATAACATTTGAATTTCATAAATGAAATACACAAAGGTACGTAAAATTTTAAATACACGAACATAAAGGTCATAGTTACTAAGGTCTAGGCACAAGAAACTCTGTAAAAATAAGGGTCAAGTACTTCGATGATGATTACAATGATGTTGGCTCTAATGAAGATTCTCCACATCAATTAGTATCCATATTTGTTTAGTCAAACATGCGTTTTCTCCAGTCGGCAGACAAAAGAAATGATCATGTTAATACTTTATGCTGATACCTATGCTTTAAAAAACTGAGAACAAGTGCTTCTGAATGTAAGAAAACAGTACAAGGATATACATTAGTTGAATTTACAAGACTCAATATTTATTTTTATTATGAAAACTACAAAAAAATAAAAGATCAGAGGCCCGATTTAAGCCGAGCATACTAGTAGATAGATATCCATCAATCCAAAAATTTAATTTAATGGGGAAGAACACTGCTAAATATTATAAGCTTGACTTTGGTTTCACTGCCAAAGTAAGGGTATTATTCACCATCATAAAGATCTTTAAAAAAAGAAGGTAGGGAAGTCATTTTTAAAAATGGAAGATGGCAGTTTTGGAGCTGTATCACCTTTTATGGAGAACTTCCCATCAAAAGTGCCTCTATTGAATGACGAAAGAGTATATTACTCGAGAATTTAAGAAGGCATAAATGCACTCTTCGACAATTCATGTGGACATTTAAAGTATTCAAAATTTTGGTTTTTCCTTCATCTATGGTCAGCATTGTCCATACGGTTGTGTCTGCATTTACAATGCTGCTTTTGTTAGTACTCTTGGTTCGATAATGTCTGAAGTAGTTATTTTAAAATACATGCTGACTAAGCTTTTGTGACTTCACAAACTAAAATGACTACACATTAAGTAAAAGAAAACAAGAAATTTATTTTAGCTAGGACAGCAAAAGCATAAAAAAATGGCTAATGATGCCAATGCAAATAAAAAAAAATAAAAATAAAGGTTAATATATTGATACAACAGATGGTAAACCAGAACCTTGATGTAGAGCATTAACACGTGAAACAAAACAGAAGGAATTAAAATTTGCAAAAGATAAAATTTATCTAATGGCCATCTTTAAGACAGGAAAACAAAAGCTTGAGTTGAATAAAATCTCACTAGCAATGATCTTGCGGCCTGGAGCAGAAACGAAGGTAGGAGGACTTCCTCTAATTGTAATTGGCTTCAGAATTCCATTTACAGACACGGATTCTGAAAGCTTCCTGGGTTGAGAAGGTGGGAGAGACAAGGTGTTGAAGGCGAGGGAAGCCATTTTCCTGGGATCACTTCATGCGTTGGTGAACACTTCTTATCCTTTTAAGAGCTTCAGGCCTTCATCAATTGCATTTTACACTTGCGAGTACCAATAGCTGTAAACGCAACAAAGCAGAAGCTCTCAGCCAACCACTACAAAACGCAACAGATAAGCAGAGTTCTGGACACCACAGGTCAACGTACCCTTCTTCCAAGTGAGAACACCCAGGCCAGTCCGACTGGTTTGTTTAGCACGTACCTGTTCGTATTTGACACTTGTTTACTTCCAGAAGGTTGAAAACTTTGCACCGTGGAAAGGGAAATGGCCCCGAATGCTTTTATTGTCATACTTATTTAGCAGAAAAAAATATAAACAGAAGTATTTAGGTTTAATAGTAGAGAATCAGCAGGACAGCAGGAAAAAAAAAACGCCATCAGACCAATCCCTGTCCTTCTACAAGATATCAGTAAGGAATTAACTTGCCTTGAAATAGCATCAGATTATTGTGAATTCACTTCACTAGCCTTTATAATTGGATAGAAATCATATTTGAGATATGAAACAATAGCAGGACAAATACAACAATATTTTTTCTCTTAACTTTTAATTATCATCATTCAGAGCCAGATACTCTTAAGTGATAATTTTAGTAGACAAAGAAAGTTTTATTGTTTACTACATCAACGATTGAAGTACCAAAATAGTTCCTTCACTAATTACATGGGGTCATTTTAGTCCCAAAATCTATAAAAGTGTCAAAGTGTCCGTAGATTTCTTTAATATAGGTAAAAATAGTTTTAGGGAAGACTATTTTAGCCTTCATTAAAAGAGTTTGGGACTAAATTGGTACTTTCATAGACTCTGGGATGAAATATACCACTACAAAGAGTCAGGGGACCATTTTGACACTTTTCTCCTGCCAAAAAGTATTTGACACGTGCGACTCCTTAATAAATTGTTTATCTAATGATTTTTTGGGTGGTTTCCTTTAGTTAATCATTTTATAGAAACCATGGTGATGATGATGGATTCCACTATGCTAGCTTGGAGCTTTTGCCACTTGAAGATGGACTCGAGAAGGTCAACTTAAGAAGACTCAAATGCATAGTAGTTAAGATCCAAGGTTGATTATTGCTTAGTGTGAGTTTAATAATTTTTTCTTGTAAATTGATTGACTAAAATTTTCCCAAGGGCACAAAGATGATGAACAAAACTTAAAAAAAAATGTTTTTTTTTGTTAAAATTAATTTAAATTACGCTACCATATTATTATGCATTTATCAATAGTTTTTTAGAATTCATTTAGATTTCTATTTACTGATTTTATTGTTATTAATTTTTCGCATAAATTATATTAATTTATTTTGTTTCTACCAAGTAGTGGATCTATAGTGAAAAGGGTGATATTGATGAAGTTCATCCCACTTGTCTTTTAGGTACTATAGTAAATAGGGTTGTAAACGAGCCGAGCTTGAGCGAGCTTAGGCTTGGCTCGTGTTCGGCTCATTCGAAATAGCTCGTGTTCGAAATCGGCTCGTGAATAGTGTGTTCGTGTTCGGCTCGATTTAAAAATTTGTGTTCGTGTTCGGCTCGAAATTAGCTCGTTAAACTTAAATTGAGAAAAATAGTTATAAAATGTGGGATTCGAACCTCGAACAGATTTATCATCTTATCGTAAAGAGAAGATATCATAGTAGAGAATATACGCATGAGTGAAGTTATTTTCCAAAAATATAGAATGGAACAATGAAAATCTCTTTATCATTTTATCCGTATGTTGAAAGAAAATGGAACCAGTAATGGAATTGAAGATCTTGATCACCCATATGAGAACTACATAATTAAAGGCAAGTAGGTTGATGTTTTGAATTGCAAAAACTTATTTATTGATTGTATTACTACTACAGGTGTCTATAAGAGACACAAACATAAGATAAAATAGAAATAAATAATGGTAATTAAAGAGGAGAATATCCTTCATTAAGACATGAATTAAGTCATAAAACTTCCAATTTGATAAAACCTTTTTTAAAGCAGATCTCAAAGAAATTATAAGCTTGGTCAATAAGGGATTATTTTCATGAGTCAGTGTCATTAGCATGATGGAGCACAATAGAACCAGCACAAGGTTACCTTGTGCGTCAATTTTATATTTTTTCTTTAACATGCTTAGCAGGTAAAAAATGAATTGAGAGAAGGTTATGCTAACATTTTAATTGTCATCCTTTACATTTTATAAAATTAAAAGAGGAATACAGACAGCTTGTCTGACACACAAAAATTACAATATTGTACTAGTATAGGATATTTGTCTGCAGAATTTTTTTTCTTTTTTTGAAGAATTTAGCCCTCTCACTCACTAGTTAGAGACCAAAAATTTTCACAATTTAATTGCAAATGGCTCGGTTCTTGGGAAAATATTTGCGTACATAAGACGTACGCAGCGCTGCGTACGTCCAGAGGTTATTTAAGGGGTACATGGGGGTTATATCGGGGTTATATCCCTCTGTAACCTCCCTGTAACCTACAAATGAGTTCCGCGCTTCTGTGGTTTCATGGGAACAAATAAGTTACACGGAGGTTACAGGGGGGTATAACCCGGATATAACCCCCTGTATCCCCTGAATAACCTCTGACGTACGCAGCGCTGCGTGCGTCTTATGTACGGATCTTATGTACGCAAATATTTTCCCAGTTCTTGGAAGGAATTTGTTCAATTTTGCAATTGCAACTGCGTAAGAAACTTGTACAAATTTCATCACCCAAAGCGCAAAATGCAAATATTTAATAATCGCCTAAATAAAACCTAATTTTCTTCAATTGTGAAACCAACACCAAACAAAAAACCCAAGAAAAAAAAAACTGTAATTAGGAGAAACACAACTTCAATATATGTAAGAGCTTCACACTCGATTAAATAGAAACGATCAAATAAAGTAACAGCATGATAAAACAGGAGCAGGCACAGAAAGTACTTGCATTTGATTAAAAATTCCTATATATGCGCTGCATTTTTTAGGTAAAGAATCTCTAACCTTTGGCTTTTGGGACCAACCGAAGAAACCGGAGATGGCTCGCCACAGATGGATGGCCGGCCGTGCAATATATTGCCGGCTCCGAAGCGCGGATTTAATACAGTTCGTCGAAGAGAGGGATTATGGTCTTCGAAACAAATCTTCCGACTTTCCGAACATTTGCGGTTTCGGTAAACTGGAAACAATTATAGCAAATTTTATCGTTGTATAACGCATTATTTAGCATAGGCCTGGCTGTAAATTAGGCTCGCTCGTGTTCGACTTCTTATATTATGAGCTCAAAATATATGTTCGTGTTCGGCTTGTTTATATTTCGAGCTAAAAAAATATGTTCATGTTCGACTCATTTATATTTCGAGCTCAAAAAGTGTGTTAGTGTTCGGCTTGTTTGCTTAGCGAGCCGAACAAGAGCTGTTCGCGAAGAGTCGTTTTGACAACTCTAATCACTAATTACGTAGTCATAAGATTTTAATTGTTAGGGTAATATTTAAAAATTATTGTTTATATTAAAACAACGTTTGAATCAAATTTAATATTTTTTATTCAATTTTCTTAATTAATACTTTTAATTGATTGTAATTCTTTGTAATCTTGTAGTAAATTAGGTTTTTTTTTTTAAATACTACTCATCAATATATATAAGATTCGTTCGTGTTCGGCTCTTTTTGGCTCAAAATACTACTCATCAATTATAATATATATATATATATATTATAATTGATGAGTAGTATTTTGAGCCAAAAAGAGCCGAACACGAACGAATAAATCTTTATTTGTGTTCGGCTCATTAACTTAGCTAACGAGCCGAACCCGAGCTTAAACTTTTTAACGGCCGAACACGAGCTGTTAATGAACAACGAGCCGTTTTGAGAGCCCTATACATGCCACAATTATTTTATATTTAAATATTTAGCACTTAAACATTCATATTTACATGCATGTCACTAAAACCTTTAACATTATATAAAAAAAATTACTACTTGTTGGACATCCCACAACAAAAGAACTATAAGAAATGCTCATTGAAACTCTCATCAAATTACTATTAGAGCTAATTGGTGCACTCATTAGTCATTACATTCAAGTCTTACAAATAATTTTGATGATTCTGATTTTATTCTAGCAATTTAAATTTTTTAAATTTATAATTAGTTTCTATGAATTTAATCCAATAACCTTATTTTTTTTAATAACAAAGCTATAAGAGATGGTAGAATATGACAATATCAATGTGAGTTATGGTACTTTCCATGCCAATGTGTTCAGGTAAATACAATCAATCCTTTGGGTTTGAGTAATCTCCTTTCACGGTTGTCACTCCCTCGACCAATTCCTAGTTTAGATGTGATTCCTAGTGTTTTCATTCCCTATCTAATCACCATGTCTATCGCTAGGCTGGGTGTAATTCTCAATGCTTTATTGTCTAACATATTCAGGTTAAATCAAATCTTTCAGAAGGATATCAGTCTGGTTTAAAACTATGTTAAATCAAATCCTTCATAAGGATATCAGTCTGGTTTAAAACAAGTGATTTCTACTTTGATATAACCTGATCAACTATAAGGTTAGATGTGAGTCACAATACTTTTTATGGATGGTTTTCTTAGGAGTCGTTGGTTTGCTAAAAATGAAATTCAATGAAAAATATTTATAGAGTACTATGATTACAATGTATTTGAAATATTTTTAAGTTGTTTGGTTCATTGTAAAATGAACTTAGGATTTTATATTTTTTTGTTTAGTTTGAAGTAGATTGAAAATAATGTATTTACATGGGCAAAGAGTGGCGGGCAGCCGACGGCAAATGACAGTGACGCTCAGCGGACAATTGTGTCGGGCAGCAACCAGTGGGCGGCGATGGCAGGAGGTAATGTTGATGGCTAGCGGTGGGGAGCAAAGGTGATGGACGGGTTACGGTTTCAAACTACAGCAGCTTCGGGGCAGCAAGTGTGAGGAGGCGGCGGCGGCCGACAACAAGGGGGAGGCGGGGGCGACGGCTAGCGACAGGGAGCGAAGGCCGTGGATGGGTTGCAGTGGCGGGAGGCGAGCAACGATATTGGACGGTTGCGGTGGACGCGGCAACAACTTGCTTATAACATTTTACATAAATCATGTCATTCAAATTTGGCCAAATCGGCAGAGTTCTAAATTCATACAAAATGAACTATGATGTAAACTTCAAATTCATTAAAAATTTTCATTGTATTTGTAATTTTTCATATCAAACACAAAATTTTCTCAATTTCCTTCAAAAGATTTACAGTGCACCATTAATTTACTCAACCAAACAACCACTTAATGTAGGAATTTTCGTTGGAGAAGCTTAATGTCCTTTCATAATTATTTCTCCAAAATTCACAAACTCAGAGGTTGAGCTAAGTTTCCCTTGGACTCCTCTTATGTTTGGTTTCTCATAGATTTAGGACAATTCATCTTTTATAATCCCCTGCCTACACCCTCTACTTTTTCATGTATTGGTTGGTTTTCATTTGAAAGCCACTATACTTGTATCCACACTGCAAAACTTCTCAAGTCTTCAAATTTCAAACATCCCAAATCCCTAAATGCTTAAATCAAACTCCTCTCAGGCATTTTTACCTAAGATCCCAAGCCTGGATCTTAAGTAGATTACAATGACAGAAACTCTATGATTCGTGTCTTCTAAATCTAGAAATCAACAAATCAAATCCACACTTTCAAATTATAAGTCAAATTTTTAATTATACAAAATATCAAACAATGCAAATCAATTAGACCTAATTGAAATTATAAATCCTAAAATCTTTTTTTTTTTTTTTTTACATTTCTAGTTCAAGTTCTCAATATAAGCAAAATCAAATTTAAAATTTTCAAATCCTCTGATAAATTCAAATTAGAAATATCATTCACAACTTCGAATTTTATTCAAGTACCTTTGCTTGAATATTTTCTTAGATTTAGTCGATTGGTTTAGTCAATACCAATATGTGCGGTAAACTTTGTTTAATATATCACTTATTGAGAATCCATTTATTAACCTCACTTTTAGTGAGGATTATGGTCTTAAACCAAGTACAAAGCTTCCAATTAAATCAACTTAAATCTTACACTTCAAGTCCACACTAATCTAAACCAATTTAAGCTCAAAACAAACCCAAGTTCAATATTAAATAAAAAATCTAACCAAGAAAAAAGTAATGACCCAAATTACAACCCAAAATCAATTCAAAACAAAACTAAACTCCAACCTAAATCCAACTCAAAGCACATTTCACACTCAACCCAAACAACTTCTCAAACCTGCCCATGAGCTAGTCTAAATCCAACCAAATTCAAGCAACCAAACCTAAGCCCAAGCATCCCTGACCCAAGGCCACCCCTACAGACCTAGCCTAAACCCACAGGAAAACCACTATCAGACTAGACCCAACTCAACTTAGCCAAAATAGAAAACAACATGCTCCACTCCTCAACCAATTCTCCCACTTTAAACTCTATTTTTGGCTTGGCTTTCACCATCACCACCTCCTCCACTCCCTGTCTCTACAAGTAGGCTCAAGACGCCTCCTTAACACCAAACCAAGCTAAGAAAGTCATCCCTTCCTATTGTCCAGACCAAAGTCGAATCAAGGGGATAGCTGCAGAATTGGGAGCTTGTCCTTGAGCATTTGGAGTTGTTTGTGGGACTTAAAAGAGCATTCCAGAGTTGCCGATTGATTGAATTGTCTCAATATATATTTAAGCTAATTGCTTGTTATTAGTGTTAGGGCCTTTTGTAGTTTAAAAGATAATATTTTGTATTTGATACTAAGTGATTTCATAATATTTCTTTTATAATTATTCATTTTATTTATAATTTTATTATAAAATTATCTTAAAATAAAATTATTTTCTATTTAATAATAAATAACTCGACTCAAACTTGTAGGCTTAATGTCACAGATAAAAATTCCCATATCGGCTAGGTGTAGGGTCGGTATTTAAGTCCTGAGCTGCCTACCACCCCAAATAGCTCTTTTGGGATGTGGCAAGTGGTATCAGAGCAGATCACTGCCTGCTAGGTGTGTGGACTCTTCATGGTCCAGTGGGACCCTCGGTGGAGCCAATCAGTGACGAGGGCGTCACGTGATTGGGTGGAGGAGAATGTCACGGGCAAAAATTCCCACATAGGCTAGGTGTAGGGCCAAAAAATAGTATTTAAGTCTTGGGCTGCCCACCACCCCGAAAAGCTCTTTTGGGAGGTGACATTAAGGTCAAGCTCAAGTTCAAATTGAATAAATTTAATCAAGTTGAAGCTCCAGTCGAGAGTGACAAGAGTTCGACTTATTTACAACTCTAAATGTTTTCAAATAGCTCTTTCATTAATTAATCATGTGATACATTTTTAATATTCCAATTTATCAATAACTCAGTTTATACACTGTACCCTTTTGCACATTCCATTAATCCAATTAAGATATTTTGTTTGGGACAACTTATTTGCAGCGGTGGCGGTTTCAAAATGCCATCACCTGTTTGGAAATAGCATTCCTATAGCTTATTCTAAAACTCCATTTTGAATTTACTATTAGACATGGATCGCGGGGTCCTACCCGCGATCCACGTTTAATATTGTCAAAAGATGCCTACTGCCCCTCCTCCGTCTCCTCTGCCCTAATTTCGCAACATGCGGCGAGTTGATCACGTACGTCGCAGCACTCCTCGGTCACCATCTTTGGCAAGCGTTCTCTGTGGTAACCTTTTTTTTTGCTCTTCGATCCTCTGTCGCTCGTTTGCTTCTCTGACCGTTTGTGTTTCTCCGATCGTTTGTGTTTTTGCTGTGGAAGTTGGCTTTGGAAACTCGTTTCAGCCTTTGCACTATGCTAAGTTGCGCCTCTGATCTTTTTCATTTTTTTTTCTTTTTTTTTGTTGTGGAAGGATTCAGGTGAATCTGATTTGAGAATGTGTATGGCTCCTTCTGTACATGTTTATGAAATGTGTTGATCTGTTAGTTCTTATTTATATACTTCTCCCTTTTCTATTGCTATTGCCTTGCTTTCCTTGATAGAATTGGTAGATCTTAGTTGACAGTCATGCGTAGGACAACTTCTATATCGAATTGTTGTTGGATGCTTGCAAGAAACAATATTGTTTTTTGTTGGACATCTTCGATATGTTATTCCTGTTGGATGTTTTTTATCTATCGATTTGTTAGTCTTGTTAG